TGATTCGTTCGAGCGGTTCGGCACTGTTCGGCGACGTGGGGCGTGGTGGGTGGGTCGTCTCCCTTATCCTGCGTCGTCGCCTGCCTCTTCTCCTCCTGTCCTCGTTTTGTTTCGTTTCGACTTGGTGCTAACTCCTCTCCGTGCTCCTACGATCTGGTCTGCGAGTCGTCGCTAGGGTTGGTCGCCGACGGGCTCCGATGGTGGCGCGCTGCGGTGATGCCGGTTAAGGTGGTTCTCCTCTCGGTTATCTCCTCTTTTCTCTGCTCGATCTATCATGTGTGACCAGTTTGGGATCTAGGGTGTGTGTTGGTTGCAGATCCGTTGTTCTCCTCTTCGCTGGGCCTGGATCCGTTGCACCGTTCTTCGATCTGCGGTAAATTTTGTTTTTGTCCCGACCCATGTGGTCTTCTTCAGCCAAGATGGGCTTTTGACGTTTCTAACGGCTGCTATGTTCTTTGTAGTTGCTCCTGCTTGGTCAGCGAACCTGCTCGTCCTCGCGTGCGTGTTGGCCTTCGCGTCTTGCTCCAAGGATCTGCAGGTCCATTGCACTTTCCCTTTCTCTTTGTTGATAGGCCTTTTTGTGTCTTGTTTGACTCGTGTGCACATGTGTGCGTGTGCTGGTTGGCTCGTTGTGGTACGCCTGTCGGTCGGGTGTGTTCATGTGCTGTTTTGCTTGTTGTGGTATGCCTGGCGTTAGGGTAGGTGTGCACGGTGACAGATCATGGTATTCTTGTGCTGTTGTGGCGAACCAGCGCATGTCCTTGTCTCTGAGTGGATTTTAGTTGTTCTTGCTTTTGTCTTGTTTGCTTGGTGATAGGTGACAGGTGTGTGTCTTTTACAGCTTTTTTGGATCTTGCTACTCTGGATAGGTTCCTGGTGAATGGATGTTTGTTTTTACCACTCCATTAGGTGCTTGGCTTTGTCTGGGTTCATAGGATTTGTTTGTTGGTGGTTTTCTACCAACTTTTGTTTCCTTTCGAATTTTGTCAGGTACCTGCCCTTTTACTTATTAGGGGGTTGGGGGAAGATCTGCTTTAGATTTACTTATCTTTAGCTTTGTTGGGTCCCTTGGTTAGTTTCTCTGTATGGGATTTTTGTTTGTTTCATGTCCATGGATTTGGCCACGTCTAGCTAGATAACTAAAGAGTTTGTTGTTTTGTATGTGGGGTTGTGTTTAGGAAGCCATGGATGCATGTTGGCATTTGCCTTTTGGGTTTGTCTAGGCATAGGTTCATGCTGGCATGTGCCTTTTGGGTTTGTCTGCTGCAATGTGTCCCATGTGGATCAACCTGCTGTGTCTGGATTCGTCCAATGGCCTTCTGAAAAATGGAGAAGCATGTTGGGCAGTG